GTGTTTATTTGTTTGTTTGTTTGTTGTACTGGGGATTGAACACTGGATCTTTCATTTAAAATCCCAGCCTGAGGGGGTATAAATTGTGAGGGCGTCCATTTTTGGTGAATATTGAGAGTAGAAAACTCCTTGGTTGAGATTTTCAATTAATTGACTCTAAAAAATGATTTTCAATCCAAATCTGGTGATTACAGAGAGAGAGCATGAAAGAATGGGGATTGAAGCATCTTGGATTTGGGAACTTTATTCCAAAGTAAAGGTCAAACTGTGACCTAAGCGTCATAGTGAAAATATGGTGTGATCTGGATGATCCTCAGTATAGCTGAATGCTAATATCATGTGGAGTTACTAATTCTACCAATATTTTCAATTCATATTTTCTTCATTTGGGCCACTGTACAATACATTTACTTTCTAAACATATGAACTCTTTAACACTTATATTTTCAGCTACAGTAATAATTTTAAATAACTAGGAATATATGTCTGGATGCTAACATTGAAATATTACATACAACAAGATATTTTATTATTTCTCAGAAAATTAAACATAGTATAACAGCTGTTCTGGAAACTTAAGGAACTAGATTGAAAGAAACCATTTAAAATAATTGTATGCTAATAGACCACCAGTTATATAGTGATGACTGCACTTAGCTGCTGCTTTTGTTTGTGTTCTCCCAGTATTCTTTTTTAAATAAATCAAAGAAAATATATTTCATGTAATAAAAAAGACATTTATCTCAGGGGCCAGGGATTTAGGTCAGTGTTGTCACCACTTTCCTGAAAAGCACAAGGACCCAAGTTCAATTCCAGTACAAAAAACAACAACAACAACAAACCATTTTTCTCAAACAGTAAATTCAACCACATTCTAATCCACTAGTAAGAAAAATCAAAACTTGATTCAATGGAGATGGTCCACTACAAAGAAATGAGATTTTTTTTATTAACTGTATGAAATTTCAATCCAAAAACAATGTATAAGAGTTTTCTTCACATCTTCATTTACATTTTTAAAATTTTTGGGAGGTCAAGTAAAAATAATATATATATGGACCTGGATTTAGCTCAGTAGTTCAGCCACTTGCCTTGCAAGTAAAAGGTCCTGAGTTCCATCCCTGGTAAAAAGGCAAAACAAAACACCAAAAAAACATTTTGATGACAGCATTTCTAACCAAGGTGAGATCATATTGCTTTGTGTGTTTGACTTGCATTTGTTTCTCAGAACTAATGACTTTGAATAATATATATATGGACCTGGATTTAGCTCAGTAGTTCAGCCACTTGCCTTGCAAGTAAAAGGTCCTGAGTTCCATCCCTGGTAAAAAGGCAAAACAAAACACCAAAAAAACATTTTGATGACAGCATTTCTAACCAAGGTGAGATCATATTGCTTTGTGTGTTTGACTTGCATTTGTTTCTCAGAACTAATGACTTTGAATGTTATTTTGAGAAATTTGTTAGCTATTTGAATTTCTTCTTTTCACAAGTATCTTTTCATATCTTTTGCCAGTTTTATAGTACTTTGCAGTTAATGCATTTTAAAAGTTTCTTATGTACTATATAGATGTTAATCTTTTGTCAGTTATTATATACATTTTTTGCATTCTGTAGATTGTGTGTTCATTTTGCTGATTGTTTTCATTGCTACATAGAATTTTCTTAGTTTGAAATAATCCCACTTGTCTATTTTTTTCTTTGTTTTCCTTCTTTTCAGTGTCCTTACCAAGAAATTTTAAAATGAGCTAATGTTTTAAAGTATTTCTTCTAATAGTCTCATCATTTCAGATCTTTGATACATTTTGAATTTGTTTTTGTGGAGAGATGAGGTTCAAGTTTCAGTTTGCTGCAAGTATCCAATTTTCCTAGAAAAGTTTAAGAGACTCATCTTTTATGTAATAAATGTTTTTGGTACCTTTGTGTCAGTCAGCTATAAATTCATGGGGATATTTTAGAATTTTCATTACTATCACAATTAATATCAATGTTTTGAAATGAACTCAGTAAGACAGTTAGTAATCCATGCAATTTTGACATCTACCATATATCATAAGTTACTCATAGATATTATCAGCCAAACAAAATACCCCTCAATGTAGAAGCCAAGCAGAATACCAATCATTACTTGTGTAAAAATCTGTTGGCCTTTCTGAGTTGTTTGAGCATAAAGTTAAAGTTGCTGTACATCACTAAAAACAACCCTTGGTAACCTTGTAATGATTTACCATTCTAGAACAAACAAAGTTGTATTTGGAGAGTTGAGAATAATAGTATACATGGAGAAGCTTTTATTTCAGAAAATATTTAAGGTGGTTTTCAGGCAAATCTTTCATTTCTACTTTATTTCTGCAAGAAATAACAATGTAACTGTTATTTACTAGAAGAAAATCTGCCAGTTTTACAAGTTTATTGTATTTCTTGCTAAGTCCTAGAGAAATGTAAAACAAATTAATGTTTCACCTTTTGAGTATTTACTTTGCCTTTTTGAATATATGAAGTACAATAGTCCATGGGGACTTAACTAAATGGCACCTTGAGACGAAACGAATATTTGCTAATTTGAGATTCATTATTGTTTGCTTAATTTGTTTTAATAATTAAGCTATATTTCAGCTGACTCCAAATTCAGTGTCTCTGTAACCTTCTCAATATATGCTTTCAGTATTAGTCATTTGCTTCCAGCCCAGAAACTTGAATTGCTTTTCTTTGAAGTTATTTGTGCCATAAAGAATTTAGAGCAGTGTTCTTAAACTTAACTGTACACACAAACTATTTGCTAATAAATACTAATTCAGATCAGCAGATCTTGATGGATTCTTAGAATATGGGTTTACAATGAGCTATAAGGAATTCCAATGCTGCTGGAGTAAGAACAGACCGTCAGCCTTGTACAGTGCTCCAAACTTGCAGCACAATCTTTCAAGCATGGGACACCAGGAACTGTTTCTGATTTTTAAGGACAAAGTGAAGGTTATCATTATCCAGGACTATTACTGTGTGTCATCTTGCTGAATACAAGTGACACTGCAAATTTGCAAGTCCCTTGTTAGTACCGAGTGTTTTTCACTGGATGCAATGGTACTTAAAGGTCAAAGAATGCTACCAGTACTTCTAAGACCTTCAGTTCTTGGTGAGTTTATCTTGCTGTCCAGTGACTAAGCAACATGGAGATGAATGTTGACTCCAATATATTATTTCTAGCCATAATTTTTATGTGTTTTTAGACTTTATAGCACTAAAGTAGCATTTATTTTATTTAATTTATTTTTTTTTTTTTTTAGGAAAAGCTAAACATATTCTTGGCTATTGGTGGATGAATGGTATAGTAGGCCATGAATGAGGTTGAAAGTGTGAGAGATGTAGTGACTGAGAGAGGGAGGTAAGAAGGGAAAGAGAGAGAGACAAAAGAGGAGAGAGTGGTGGGGGGAATGAGAAGCAGGAGAAGGAGGAGCAGGAGGAAGTAAAGAAAAAAGAGGAATAGAATACAAAAGAATTAGAAAAAAACAAAATATGAGTCAGTACAACAACATATTCTTATTAGCCAACAGCAAGCAATGCGAACCTTTTTTTTTTTTTTCAGTGAAGAATATGAATGGGTGAAGAACTCTGCAGAATACCTAGAGATGCATCCTTACTGGTGTAGATGCTATCATTAAAGAAGTACAGCAAAGGAAGTTGGTTGAGGGCTTTTGCTTTCTTTTCTACCTTTCAGTTTTAATGATGCAGTTTTCTAGTCAGTTTTCCTTATTATTTAATTACTGGTGACCACTAATATATAATTAATGGAAAGAGCAGTATGTATTCAGTCCTAAGTAAAGAAGCTTCTAACATTCAAAATTAAGGTCTTAGTATTTACGAAGTGTTTCGTATATTATTTTATATGCATTCCTTTTGATCATTTATTTTAGTTTATTCTCAGAAAATAATCCTACACATAACATTCCTGTCCCTTACACTTCAGCTATAATCTAGCAATCTCAATAATTAGTAGTGGAGATATCAGAGGATATCAAGTATCTTTTTCAGACAAAAGCAAAAACAAAAATTGAACACACAAAAAAGTTTGAAATCTAAATAGCAGGAAAAGAAAAATATATTTAGTGATTATTCAGTAGGTAGCTTTGCCTAAAGTTAGTGTATTCATATTGTGGGGAATAATGAGAAATAAGTCTGACAAAATCATGTGGAACATCACATTAAGATTTTGAAATTATGGTAAGATATCTGTACTAGAAAATATGAGATATTAAAAATAGATGAATCTAAATGTCAGACTAGATTTTTGTAAACTAATGTGGATTTATATCCAAATCCTCCTTTTCCCTATAATTACTATTATCTATATAATTTTATATGTAACTAACTTTGCTAGCTAAGGATTTTTTTAAGTGAGGATAATTCATAATATCAATCTTATAGTATAGTATGGATTTCATTACATATGTAGGAAAGTAAGCACAATGCTTTCCACAAGGAAAATGCTAAAAAATGTGATGAACATGAGATGTCTTTATTTGAATAGACCCAAAAGCAGAAATGGAGTCAAGACTCAGAGCATGAATAAATTCATTATTTGGCCAAAAAGAAAGATTATCCTCCAAGAAATTAATGAATTCATTACAGGTCTGAATACCTGGTCTTAAACTGTCTGGAGGATCCTCTGGAATTATGCAGAACTCAGTAGAATACTGGAACAATGGACAATTGTGAACTGATTACTGCCATCCATTGTGTGAAAACGTGCTCACCATGGGAGTCCATCAGCCCTATCAAAATGTCTTCTCCATGCACACAGAAGACTGGCCCTCAGGACTCTGGCGAACATCTCCAGGCAGCAAATCAGAAAAAACTGAAGACACAAGTCCCCGATGTAGGATCCTGGCTGCGTGAGGCGAGTTCTCCAACACAGCAGCACTGAAAGCAGGTGGGCTGAAGGAGCGTGGCACTGATGAAAGTTTTCTAAGATTCATAGCGCTAATTAACATCGCATCCTACATTGTTTATAAAACATATTCCTGTTAAAATTTATTTTATTGGTACATTTAAGGTATAAAGTATAATAACATTCGTCATTGAAAATTTTCACCTTTACTTAATCCATCTTGGTTCTTATTTTTTCCCCATTCCTCTGACTTCCCTTTAACTCCTCCCTCCCTATGTAAAAATACATTGCTTTCATTTTCTCATACTTTTTTCTCTCTTTGAGTTTATTGGTACATTTTAGGTATACAGTACAGTTACATTCATCATTGGGGTCTTGTACCTTTACATGACAGGTCTTGGTTCTCATTTTTTTTTCCCTTGTCCCTGCCCTCCCTTCACCCCCTGCTCCCTTCCCTAGTTACAGATACTTTATTTCCATTTTTTCATTTTCTCATGTTTTTCCCATTATTACCTTTCCCCTACTCTACCCACTTCCCCTACACCTTTAGCCCTTTTCTTCTTATTTCACATTGTCAACTATATCATTAGGATCTTATGTAAAAGTATAGTTTTTCAGACCAGGGAAATTATTTGTTATTTATACATGTGTGAATCTTTTATTTCACTTTGGAGTATATCCTTAATATGTATCAATTTTCCTATGAATGACTCTAATTTCACATTCTTTATGGCTGAGTAGTATTCCATTTTATAGAAAAACCACATCTTCTTTATCCAGTCTCCTCACTGAGAGAGAAATTAGGGAAACAATTCCTTTCGCAATAGCATCCAAAAAAATCAAGTATCTAGGAATCAATCTAACAAAAGAAGCAAAAGAAGACCTGAAAACTACAGCACTCTGAGAAAAGATCAAATAGGATATAAGAAAATGGAAAGATATCCCCTGATCCTGGGTAGGAAGAATCAACTAGTAAAAATGGCCATATGACCAAAACTGCTATACAGATTCGATGCAATGCCAATTGAAATTCCAACACCATATTTCACAGAACTAGAAAAAAAAATAATCCAAAAATTAATTTGGAACCAGAAGAGCGCTAGAATAGCAAAAGCCATCCTAGGCAACAGACATATGGCAGTGGGTATCACAATCCCAATTTGAAACTATACTACAAAGCCACTGTGATAAAAACTTTATGAACAAATCCTCAGTAGCATGGAACTAGCAGAAAAAAATCAACAACTGGGATCTCATCTTATTAAAAACTTCTGCACTGCAAAAGAAACCATCAACAGAGCTAAAAGACAACCTACAATGTGGAAAAAAAATTTACCAGCTGCTCCTCAGACAAAGGACTATTATCTAGAATATATAAAGAACTCAAAAAATCAGCCTCCCCAAATATAAAGACCCAATTCAAAAATGGGCATCTGAAATGAGCAGACATTTCTCATTTTCTCATATTAATTGCATTTCCTTCTTTCCTTTCCCCTTCCCCTCCCACTTACCCTCACCCTTTACACCTTTTCTTCTTATTTCACATTATCTAGTATACCCTTTAGTCCTTATTTACACTTTCAGTTTCTCACACTAGAGAAACTATTTGGTATCTACACATGTGTGTCCTATTTATGTCACTTAAGAATATCGCCTCAGTGAGCACACACTGAGCTATTCTTTATCATTTACATATATTTTGTTCTCTTAATCAACAGAATGTCTTTGGCATCCTATATTCCTTCCACTTTTGTCATAGCTGCAACATCTCCCTCTTGACTTCTTTGTGGAAATATGTTCAATTCTCTCTTATAAAAACTTTCTCTTATGAAATTTTTCTGATTTTGCTACTGACACATGCTTGAATGATTAAATTAAGGTAATAAATAAAGTTATTGGATGTCTGCTCTTCATGTTTTACTGTTTTTCAGACAATAAATTTAATCCACTATCTCCTCAATGGTAGGCAGTTTTTTCATAGCAGGCAGATTGAGGTACATAATTATGATGTCAATCACTATAGCAACGTAAAATGTTAAGAATAATCAGGAATAATTATTAATAATAATCCTAAGATTGACTAAGGGCAAAGCCTGACTTTCAGTGCAGTCTCTTGAACTTATTTCCAGTTAATTGTTGACACAGATATCTGGACAAAATAGTATTTAAAATCTCACAGTTTAACTGTGCTCATGACAGTATGTGTGGGTCCCCAACATTTCATTTCCGTATTGTCTCTTTCACTCCTCTTCTACTAGAGTGTAAATCCATGAAGCTCACATTGCTCCTGCATGACTTGGACTTTACTTCATCCCCCTTTGCACAGTGGAGTGACTTGCCCTTTTATGCATTTCCTATCAATACATAACAAATTGCCAATACTCAAATGCTTAAAATGAAAAAATTTCCCCCACAATTCTTCAACCACAAATATGACACAAAGGCTTCAGTATGGCTGTTTTCTCCATGTTGGTTTCTGCTTATTTCTAGCAATACTTTTATTCCTTGTCTGAAGCTGCATCCCTCCAATCTCTGCTTTACTTACTTTCCCCTGTCTCTGTGCCTTTATAATTTTTCCTCCTCGTCTGATATCTGTCCCAAGTGTCTTTCTTTCTTTTCCTCTCTCTCCTTCTCCCTTTCAAAACAAGGACACCAGTTTAGCAGCCCATTTTACTTACATAAACTAATTGTTTCTTCAATTACCCGACTTCCCAAGAATGGAACATTTCCACTAAGAATCACTAGGCATTAAGATTAAATATATCTTTGCATGACATAATTCCACCTACAACAATGACTGATTTATAGGGCTACTAGAATGCACTTTATCTTTGGACCCTCTTTGCCATTCAGTTTGCTTTCACAAGTCTGTCTCTATGAAATTATCATTAGATATATCTTACAAATTTTAATACCAACCTTCACATTTCTATATCCCTCTTGAAAATTTTTTAGTTTCTTGTCTCTGTTGTATGGTAGATAAATTAGATGGGTGTATCTTCTAAATGGCTTATGCTTTTACAAATTTTATGCCTGCCTTTAATCTATCCATTATTTTTAAAAATGATATTTTATTTCAAAAGATTTCAACTATTAATTCATAGAATAGGGTTTACTGTGCTTTTTCTTTCTCCTTTCCTCCTTCTCAAACTCTTATATATTGCACTTTTTTTTCATTCAATGGTATCTTGTATATCTTGCATGCATTTTTATCATCTTACTTTTATATTTTAAAAACATGACCAGGCTATTTCAAAAGAACTGTCTTCAAGCTCAGAAATTCTTTTATTTGATCTAGTTTGCTGTTGAAGCTTTCATTTGTATCTTTATTTATAGAATAACTTCTTGTATCACAAGATTTCTATTAGTAATTATTATCTCTATTGCTGTTGAATTACTCAATCATGATTTTTTTCATTTTATTGATTTACATTCTCTTATAGCTCTTATAGCTTTTTATTATATTGTTTTAGCTTTTTACCTTTAAAATCATTGTTTTGAATTTATTTTCAGAAATTTCCTTTTTTTGTGGAAACTATGTCACTGAATATTTGTTATATTCGATTGCAGTTTTCTTCTTTTGTCATACTTCTTGTGTCCTTATGCAGACATTTGTACATCTGAGAGACCAGATGCTTCTACCACTTTTATAGGTTATCTTTCACAGTGAAATGTTTCTCCTGGATATATGTACTATGGAATTGGTTGTATGAACTACATTGCTTCTGCATCCAAATGGGCACAGTAGTACAGTGTTTAGGTAGCTACTTCAGCTATAATAAACATCAACAATGCCTGTGAGTGTCTCAATGACCAGGCTGCAGAGGTTTGGAGACTTCTTCTGCCACTTGGAATACAGACTTCTGAGATGTGATTAACTGACTGGACATCTGACAGCTCTGGAATTGACAACTTCAACTTCACTTCTAAGGACCTGTAAATTTGCATGGATTGTGTGAGATAAAGCCACTGTAGCTAATCTGAGGGAGGTGTGGCTGTTACAACAGTAGAAACAGGACGTTAGTCTCTATCCAAGGCTATGTGATAATGAAATTTTTAAGCTTGAAGGAATAACATGCATTTTTATCAGTCAATGTTTCATCAAGTATATCTATAAATTAATTTGACTGCAATATTTTCGTAGTCTCAACTGTACTAATTTCTCCTCTGATCTTTACATTTTCCTCCTTCAGAGAGCTTTGATATAGACTTCCTTTTCATCTTTTGGAAGTTTGGGTTCAACATTAGGTTATTTATTTGAGCTTTCTCTGCTTTTCTGATACTGGAATTCATCTCTATAAATTTCCCTCATACAATTGTTTTCATGGCTCCCTATGAATTCCTGTAAGAATAATGTTTTGCTGGAAATATTAACTGTTCAAACTAATTTCTTGTTTAATTTCATCTGTGACCCACCCATTGTTCGGTAGGGTGTTATTTAATTTCCATATGTTTATAGATTTTGAGAAATAGGAAATCTTCAAAGGGTAAGCAGAACAAAGGAGAGATGAGAGGGAAAGTAAGGAATGGAGAAGAAAATAATGGAAACAAGGCTTTTTAATAGGGAGGGGAAGGAGGCTGAAGGGAGGGGAATTAATAGGAAAAAAAGAAGAAAGATATATCATGTGCAGGTATAAATTCCCTATGATAAAAGTTATCATCACGTTTATTTAAAAATAACAAAAATTTTAAAAGGGACTATAATGGATTTTGCTCTGGGATAATCAAATGAATGTGTGGTTGCATGTATAAAATATTGATCATATTGAGCCTTGATTGACTTTTCAATCTATACTGACTCCAATATTTTCTCATCCACTTCCCTAATTTATTCTCCTTAGCTCTTAAATGCACACTAATATTTTCAGCATCCTAGTTTTACACTGGGAGCCACTAGCTTTTCCACTCCTCAGTGCAATATCATGGTGACAATGGAACTGAGCATCTCTGACTGAAACTACTGGATCTGGAACAGAGTTTGCAGTGGAGAGTGTCTTCTGTAGTCACTGCCACGTGAATAAATGGAAAAGACACATGAGGACTCTTATAAAGATCAAGTTAAACATAGAATCTACAAATAATTACCTTTGGTACATGCTGTAGTATATTAGGAGCATATTAGAAGTATATTAAAATCGTACTACATATAGTGTGATTAATAGGTGCCAACAATCATTTATAGTTTTTAATTTTTTATTCATTTATAGTAAAAATGTGTAGGTATGTACTATTAATGTTGTTATTTTCCCCACAAAGTAACAGAGAAAAGTTCTATGTCTCACCCAGGCAGGAAAGATTAAAATACTTAGTCCAACCTTTTGAGTTTAGAGCATGAGCTTTTACTTATTATAATAAAGACGCCCTCAGAAGAGAAATACCTAAAAAAGAAGGAAGAGCTCCGTTCAAGAAAATATTTGATTTTACTGAAAACATTTTCATTTCTAAAAGCAAAACTGACAGAATATGACTCCTGGATTCTCTGCAGAGAAACAGCAGAGGGCAAGAAGAGTGGTTCAGATTCTTCAACATATGAATTGTTTACCTGAATCACAATTCTTAATGAATTAGATAATTTTTATTGAGTGAGTTTAATTGTAAAAATATTTTCATTTTTTCATTCTGGAAGCTTTACTCCTCTCCTACCCTGAGCTCTTTCAAGTAACAGGGAAGAAAACTTCCAAAGGACGTACTCACAGATGCAGTCTAAACTTCAGTAATTTAAAGTTTCATTATGAAAATAACAGCATACAAATGCAATCTCTTCTGGGCCTTTGGACTAAGATCAGGCACATTCAAATGCATGTGCATGGGTTATTTCTCAATAAGTATGATTGCACTGCAGAAAAGGAAGTGTTATATACTTTCATTTTCATATCACACAGGAGGGTAGGAGAAAAACACCATGGCTGGTGAGTTTTTTATTTTTTGACTGATAAAAGGACAGTTCTTAAGGAATAAATAACTTTGAAATGGCGTAGCTTTATCTGGGAATGTGTAGGTGAGTAGAATTGAGAAGAGAAGAAGGAGAAGAAAAGGGCTCAGAAGATTCTGACTGAAGTCAGGAAGTAAAGTTGTGTGTTAGATTGGGACTGGGGTTTTACTAGAAACAGCTATTATTTCGCAATCTTAACTGTTAAGTGTCTAAAGTCTGACAGAGGATAATAATAATAATCAGAAAAAAAAAGAGTACCAAAAATTGTTCTCACAAAGATAGTGAGTGTTTACTGTTTTATTTTATTATACATAAGTAAATAAACATGAGATGTGACAGAGTAATTACTGCTTTTTATGTACTAATAGAATCCTCGGTAACTCAGTCTTCAGGGCACTGTATCCCCAGTTAATGTTGAAGGGACACATGTGGCATAATAATAGAATAAGAGTGTACTGAATTCTACAGAGATGAATTACCAATCTACTCTAAAAGAAGCCATTTCCTGTTGATGCTCTGACAGGAAAATAAAGCTGTTTTCTTGACTTGAGAAATTCTTGTGCTCCAAACAGACGTGATCTTGAAGGGAAAAAGGAAGCAGTTTGTTCGTTCAGTTGGCATAGGCACAATAAATGGTTTGCTGGATGAATTACTTGAGAAAAGAGTGCTGAACAAGGAAGAAGTGGAGATTGTAAGATCTGGCAATGCAATAGTGATGGATAAGGCCCGAACTTTGGTGGATGGCCTCATTGGAAAAGGACCCAAGGCCTGCCAAATTTGTATCAGTTACATCTGTGAAGAAGATTGCCACCTTGCTGGGACACTGGGGCTCTCCTCAGGTAAGGCTCAATGACTCAGGCTAGAGTTCATATAATGAGCGAACTGTCTATGTGAACAGTATCTTGTTTCTTTATTGCTGTTGTTAGTGTGCAGATAAAGTCCTTACCTCTGTCTTCAGGGCTCCATTTCTGTGTCAGCAACATTTTTGCTCATTCCTTCTCTTTCATCCCATGAGTATGGTCTCAATAGCCTTCTTTTCATTTGTTTCCTGCCCTGCCTATATGGCCACATTTTTCTTGAAGCTCGTGAAAACAGTATTTCAGTATCAAACAATATACTTTAATCCTCAAGGCAAAAACAGTTTATTGGGTTCATGAATGTTAAGTTCCAAACTCAATATGGAGTTATGTACTGGTTTGATATGAAGACACAAGGCTTATAATCTAATAATTTTTGTAAATTTTCTCCAAAATTTGACTTTCTAGGAAAAAACAATACAGTTGAATGATGGTTTAGGGCATTCAGAGAATAAGCTGAATATTTATAGTAAAGTGAAGATTCTAAGTAGTCTCATTCTTTCGGTTGTGTCAGTGATTTTTCTTTTCTATTTCAAGATTGTTCATCAACACAATGAACTACCAGGAAGTGAATTCTTTTATACCTCCCAAAGGCTCTCCAATTATATATCTTGAAAGCCAGAAGCCTTTTAGGAGTTGGTAGAAGCCTTTGCTGGCCTGGATTGAAATTGGAGATGTTTTGCTGTGTTCATCACCATACAATGGATGTCTAATTTTGATTCTTAGAGGTATTTGCACAGCCTACTGTGACCATTTTAACAGCTGACTTTCTAGTAATTAGAGGGTGTTTCCTCATTCACGTTTGTGCCCAGGCCTTGGGTGTAATACTTAGAGATAATATATGAATGTACTGTAATAGATGAGGTCATCTAGAACAAAGTCCATAGCAGTACATATTGCTATACTAAGGCCTCCTCAAGTAAATATTCTTGATGATGATTTTTGAATCCAGCAGTCAGAATTCAAGAGACAGAACAACTGTAGACTTACTTCTTAGACTTAAAGTTTTATAGGACATCATATGGCTCTCTTCCACTTGGAGCAAAAGAATAATCTATATTTTTCTGTAGAAAACTTATATTCAGTAAACATTATGAAAAAAATTTTGAAGCAGTCTTCATTTGTTAGTTCCTCAATGCTTTTGGATATATATTTTCAGGTGAGTGTTATAGTGAATTATTTATAAGCTAAAAATAAAATTCAATTCAATTTTTCTTGCTGAATTTGATAATACTATAGATTATAGTAGAAATATTGACAAGAGATCTTATTTACTTTAGACAACTAAGTAATTTAAGTGTGATTTCCAAGGTTTTCTCCTCCTTAGAGAAACCATGATATTAACAGCAAACTACATTTACCTGGACAATTCCAGAGAGTGCAGTTTGGAGTTCTTGTTCCACATACTGTGTAAATAAGCAAAACATGTGCTACCTAGCTAAATGGATTAATTAATTAAATTATTTATTTATTTATTTATTTTTGCACTGGGCTCAAACTCCAGACCTTGCACTTGTGAGGAAGGCAGAAGAAACACTGAGCTAAATGCCTGGCCCTGATTCATAGTGAAGATCAATTTATGCTTTCGTGCTGGATCTACCGGTTTTATATTCTAACTTGTTTAGGAGCAGACAATTAAGTATAGAAAAATTGTCAGAAAACATAGTTCTTACAGTGATATCTACATGTTTCCCATAACACAAATATATATATATATGTATATATATGTATATATATGTATATATATATACATATATATACATATATATATATATTATTCCACCAACTTTATTAAATGGCCTATGTATGACTCAGAAGTCTCTGTGCACAATGGGAATGTCACTACTTAAGAGTTGGTACTATATGAATGATGAATATATATGAAATGCTTTTTACAACTTTATGAGGAAACTTTATTGTCTTTTCACAAAAATCTGTGATTTGTGGGTTGCAGAAGACATTGTAAATGGGGTGTAGAGGTGCATGTCCACAGTACAAACACTCTGGGAGGCAGAGGGAGAAGGATAGGTAGTAGTAGGTAGTTTGACAATTTAACGATTTGACAAAACCATGTCTCAAAAATAAAAAAGTAAATTAAAAAGTTCTGTTGTTCTAAATACTGTTGTTGCAAGTGATGTTCAAAGTAAGATTTGTGTTACTGTTTGTTTCTTTTTGTAAGAATCTTTTTTGGTTTGTGTCTTACACTCTGGGCAACTACTATGAAGACAACCATATATAGAATAATAACTATTCTACTCTCTTGTTATTTGATTGTGAAATTTTCTTTTTTCAAAAATCAAAAAATTGAAGGTCATGGGTTCAATCCCCAGGACCACAAAAAAAGGAAAAAAAAAGTTTTAAAAGCAGATTAAAATACCCTATAAGTGAAAGAATTTATTTGACTCATCCTTCCTTGGATATAGCTATTACTCTTGTAATATCATCAACTTAGTCTTAGAACTTAGTTTCTTCTTCTCTGATTTCAGCAGAAGGTCATGTTAATTTTTCTGCTGTGGTAAATCTCAGCAACACTAGTTTTCTGAGTACAGAGGCCATGTTGTCATAGCTCCCGCCACCTCCCCAAGTCCCAGATCAGCTCTTAGACAGCTTTGCTTTGCACACACCTATTATTCATTACCATAACAACCATTTTCATGTCCACATATCACATGCAGATTTATTTCTATTGCTAATGATGTCTCAATCCCCCTTGCATTAGGGAGTGATTTACAGAGACACTATTTTGTTCTAAGTAAGTGTCTAGTCATGAAGGTGTGAAGGCTTTTGTTTCACAGCACTGAGTGTGGGTTCAGCTGCATCTCATCTTGAAATTAATTATTAATCCAACATGCCTGTGGATGGAATTGTCAGTGGGGAGTATCCAAGCCATTGGGCAAAGTTCACTTGAGATCATAAGTAACTTATTGTTCTATCTCTCTATAGGTCAACAAACTGACAATAACTCTCACGAAGTATTTTCTTCTTCCTCAGGTAATTGTGTTTTCAAAGAATATTCTTTGAAACCTTATCTACCTAGCCATTAACTTAACAGGATGAGGGCACCCAGGGAGAGTGAACCATGAGTAGTAATTCTCATTGATTGATATTATGCCTTTTTTCTCTTCTGGATTTACTCTGCTTTACCAGAAGCTGTCTTTGCAGTGTCACAATCCACACTTACGCTAAAAAAAACTCTGAGACTATGTTTAAAATCCTAATTTTTCTCTTGAGGGCCAGATTTTACTATTTAAGTGCCTACTAAATGTATTCATTTAGAACTCCCTAAGACATCTTTATCTAAATGTTCCCAGAGCTTAATTTGCCATTCTTCCCTCATCCTACTTCTTTTCCAGTTTCCACTGCCTTGAGTAATGGTGTTACTTCACCATTTATTTAAACCTGAGTTCCAGAATTTATAGTTGGTTCTTCTTTTATTTTTAACTTTTAAATTTCAGGGAGTGGCTAAGTTTTCCTGATTCCTCTCTCAAATCTGCACTCATCTATTCTTTTCTACTCCTACTGCTGTATTTCAGAGGCCCTATTCCTACAGGTTATGTTAAACCTCCATCCACATTTCTCACTACATTTTGCTTTTATTTTTCAAATAAACTTTTTCTTTACCACAGGACATTTTTCATAATAAAATTAAACCTTTCTAATTAATTCATAACCATGGTCTCCTGTAACCTTTGTTGGTTCATAGTTTGCTGTACTATATAATTGTTAAAAGATTGCTTCACTAAATATAATTTATCAGAATTACTATTTTAGGACACTCAAAAATATTTTATATAGTCTAGATCGTGTTCTATGTAGACTGTTAACCATGTCTAATAATGAACAAGACACACAATGCTCCTGCTTTGACTGAATTTGCATGAACAGTTAAATCACAAGTGAACAGATATGGAAACATCTACTACCAAATTAAAGTTACCCCAAATTTATAAATGAAAATGATAGTTTACACATCTGTATCATTTAAAATGATCTGGAATCCAATAGAAAATTCAAATATCTATACTGGTTTATATATCTAATCTCAGCACTCTGGGACACTGAGTCAGGAGGATAGCAAATTTGAGCCCAGCCTGGCTTCTTTGAGAGAACCTGTTACAAAATAAAACATAAGAGGACTGGAGATTTAGCTCAGTGGTTCTGCTGCCTGCTTCACAAGCACAAGGTCCTGAGTTAGATCCTCACTACCAAAAAAACAAATAAACACCAAAAATAAATAAATAGATAAATAAATCATAAGAAAGGTCTGAGGTTGTATCTCAGTGCACAAGTCCTGGGTTCAACCCCTAGTACTATCCAAAATTAAAACTATCAAACATTTAGAAATATACTATACACATCTGTTTCAATTAAGGTAATGCAGGATGCAATATCAAATTCAAATATTTATAGAGGTTCCTATATGATAAAAGCATTACATATTATGAATGAGAATTTTAGAATGGTCTTTCATAATCAGCTTGTACTCTCTTCCATTTTTTAACCCAAATATTAATATTTCTATTTCATCATTCTGATTCCCGCACCATACAATGACAAAAGAACTATGAGTGACACTATAAAAAACACAGAAGCCAAATTGTGGAAGATTTCTCTAGGCTCAGTCTAGATGTGTCTCACCAAACACGTTCTTGCATTCTATTGGTTAAAACCAGTCCATTGGCCACACTTGTGTTCTGGAGTAATTGTTCTTAGACACTAGCTGTGTTCCAAGAGGAGAATGTCTTCTGGAATCTGACTGTAGACACTGAAAGTATGCGGTCTCTGCCACAAAAATTTAAGAGTGACTTCTCATTTCAAAAACTACGAAAGGTAGATCAGGGAATGCCTATGTCCCAGGTGACGAGGAACATCTCAAATATGTCTGTGTTCTACCCTGGAAAAGATGATCTCAGCTTTATTGAAGGGGCCTTTATCCACTAGGCTTCTTGCTAGCTAATTTTACTTTTGTGGGAGACTAGCCTCTTTCCTAACAGGTAACCATTATTTTTTTCCTATTAAATTTTTCACCAACAATTGTGGATTAACTTAATCCATATGTGACCCTTTGCTCTTAAAATATAGGTGCTCATATTTGAAAGAAATTTAGAAACCAAGAGAAAAACCACTTTAGTAAACCTTTTATTGGTGATTTTACCATGCATGTTTTCTTAGGATGGGGTACTCATTATATATTTAAATACCTTATCCTATTACTAGAAAAATAGCTCTCATATAATTTAAATATTTCTACTTATTTTGCTATTGTTTTCTAGAGTTCATTATTAGAAACAGAACATTTCCTTCCAACTAATGATTACTTCTATTGTTCTCCTCAATACATCCATTCTAATTAGCTCTTATTTTTTCCAGTTAAAATTCTTAATGATGCCTTCTTTTACCTGGCTGTGTATACAACAGGTTATTTTTTTACATTCCTCTTTAAAATTGATTATTTTTTAAAAAATTTTAACAGTTTAGTTTCTAAAAGGTCCTCCAAATAGCTTGATAAGTTATTTCTATTTAAAAATACATAACGATTAATCATTGCTTTGTTGGATGGCACTGTAGTTGCTATCAAATAAAAGCCTTTGGGATTTTCTCTTATTTACTTTGGAAACTTTTCCTTACACATTTGTGCAATCAATGTTTAGTGAAATGATTCCATCTAGTATGCACCTAGATCATACCATTTATCATTCTTCTATAGTGGTTCTATTTTGTATATTCAATATTGCCCCTCCTCCTTATATGAGTACATTTTAGAAAATGATCCTGAAGAACAGAACAGAGTAAGTTTTAAAAAAAAAACACCCTAATATCTACTATCATGCATCTTTGTTTTGTTTTGTTTTTGGTACCTGGGATTGAACTCACGTCCTTGTGCTTACAAGGCAGGTGGCAGAACCGCTGAGCTAAATCTCCGGCCTGTCATGCTTCTTAAATTAATAAACAGAAAAACATGTATCTTTCACAATCCATTTAAATAGATTTAAGATGTCCCTCTAACAATGTCATATTTCATCCTACAGTAGTCTAAATCTTTTGAAAGAAGTCTATATCTTAATTTTCTTCTAACATATTGTTTTGGAGTATTATGTATGGCCTAGAGGAGCTCCCTTTCTGTAAATGCTTACATAAGATATGTGTCAAAACGTGTATTCCAAAATGTAGATATATATCACTGTATTAAAACACTGGACATCTGGCTGGAATTGTGTTCCATTAGCAATGAATCTGTCCTACAGTATTAGCAATAAACCAGGGTTGTTCCCCTAAGACTTCATTTTCTTTTCTGTGGCTTCCCATAGTTGATTTTGTCAAGAACACAAAGGGTAGCTCTCAGAAATGTGATTATTCATAATCTTTCTTATCTTATCTCTTGTAGCTTCTCAGGAAGTACAGTTCAACCAAGCTGTGTTCACATCCCCAGGACCAGGAGGAGGGCTCCAGCTTTGCCCTCTGGAGACAGCCAAAAGAATATTGAAAGACAAGTCAGCGGAGGTGCTGTGATCAGAGCGCCATGATGGAGCAGGCCGAAAGATATACAGTACTTGAGTCTGTTGAGAAGTACAGTGGTTCTTACATAGAGCCAAATCCATTGAGATATCCTAAAGAATCATCAGGCTGCTCCCCTTAAAATATCCCTACTTTCTAGAATCCCAGGCTTATATAGAGAATTATAATTCCCTGAGTAAACAATAATAGTAAATAATAAAAACAATGCCACTGAGTAGTATTGGATGCTTACTATGAGTCAGATATTACTCTAATTCTGCATATTAATGACTTTAACCATAAAAACTATGCATTTTAAAGATCAGGGGGTTGATAAATACTTTGTCCAGAGTCAGTAAATCAGAAAGTGAAGGTGTAATTTTTATTTTCTGTAATTCTGGCTTCAAAGCCTGTGTATTGTAAATATATGTATAATTTTTCAAAAATACAGGCAGATGTTTAGCTGTGATCTTGGCATTTGCAAACTCCATTCCCACCCCTGGATTAAGCCTCAGTTCCCTTCCCTACTATTAATCTATCATTCATAGGATTTGGTTTCTTAGCAAGGTTAAAGAAGAAACTATTTCAAGCACACACAATCAATGTTGAGTTAAAGAAAGAAAGACTTTTATCCAATCTTTCTTACAGATTTATCCAATAATGGATAAATTGAACCGCACACGTCTTGCCCTCATTATCTGCAACACAGAATTTGAAAGTCTTTCAAGAAGGAACGGAGCTGAAGTTGACATCAGAGACATGAAAATGCTGCTAGAAGGTCTGGGATATCAAGTGATTGTGAGAGAAAATCTCACTGCTTTGGTAATTCTTTTGAACTATAGAGATGATGATTATGTGCAATATACTCATAAATAATTTTAGAAAGCATACTAGAAGACTTAATATCTTGATAGTTCATATTAAAATTTTCCCTTGGAAAGTGCTTGATGTTAAAATGTCCTCTTCAAATTCAGGAGTCTTTTAGCAAGAGTCTGGTGAAACTTGTAATCAGGAAGTCTTTTGTTAGCGCAGTAAAGTCACCTTCTCTCTACTAGAAATTTCAGGATGACTTCCTATAACATTTGCTTTCATTACTTTTCACAGATTTGAGATTTTAAACTTTCTTCCTACTTCCTTGATTTTCATGGGTGAAATGACTCAGGGAATTCCTTGTCTCTTTACTGGACTCTCAGGGTGCCATAATCACAGAGTCCAAAATTGGTGGTGTGATTTTTTTTCAGGAAATGGCTGAAGAGGTGAAGGCATTTGCTGCTCAGCCAGAGCACAAGACTTCTGACAGCACTTTCCTTGTGATTATGTCTCATGGTAATCCGGATGGCATCTGTGGAAAGAAACACTCTGCAGAAATCTCAGATATATTGAAAGTTGACACCGTCTTTGCAATATTGAACACTAAGAACTGTCCAAGTTTGGGGGACAAGCCCAAAGTGATCATCATCCAAGCCTGCCGTGGTGGTGAGTGCTGTTGTCCATTAGAACACAAAACTTTCAATTAATGACTATTATTTGTACACATACAATGTTTTTCCAATATCTCTGTGTGTGTTTGTTCTAAATATCATGAAGCATCTATTTTTGCTATTCAATGAGTTGCGGCTTCTGTGAATTGTGTTTACGGTTAGTAAGTATTACTAAAGAGATACAACTTTTAATCTTGAAATTTTGATGTTTAGAAGTCATTTGTTTGAGGGTTAGGAAAAGTAAGAACTGTTGATAAGATGGTTCCTGAAATGTATGTGTATATATATAAAAGAATAACAGTGTATACGATGTGAGATATGCTTGAAATGTATTTAAGTTATAAATAAATTAATAATTATACTGTAGTTCAGTAGAGGTTTAGAGGAGCAAAGTTGGTAGTAAAAGAAAAAAATTTCTTTCCAGAGAGCGAAGGAGTGGTGTGGCTAAAGGATTCAACAGGAGATGCTGGAAACCAGATATTATTCAATTCAGAAGATTTTGAGAATGATGCCATTAAGAAAGTCCATGTAGAGAAGGATTTTATTGCTTTCTACTCTACAACACCAGGTAATGAATTTCTATGCAGAACAGTTTTGTAGGGTTACTAATAGAGAAAGTCACAGCATTTTGCTAAAGTATATATATCTGTGTTTAATTTTAGATGAAACATTTGAAGACCAGCTCAAAGTTTTCTTATAGTAACACATCCGGTTTTCCTTATTCACAAAGGCACAGTGTACATATATTTTCACTGAATAATCAGTAAAATTTTATTCTGTTGTACAATATTATTTTCTTTGAACTGTAAAGGATAGCAGGGAATTAAATGAAAAACTATGTTTGCTGAAGTAAATTATACTCTGACATCATAGAAGAAAATATTCACAATGTTGTTGCCAAGACATTATGCATTTATAGAATACTGTGTTGGAGGTAAAGAGGGACAAAAAGGCAAACAAAGCACACTGAGATCTTAAAGTGAGTTCTAACTAGAGTTATGTAGTGTATAATAGAAGGTACATCTGAATGATTCTAAATGTAAGCTATGGAGTAAGAGTATTGCAATTATATCCTGAAATTTCTATTTAGGACTTTGTACACTAGTTCTAGTCATTTAACCTCACAGGGCTTTCTTTCAGTTACTCACTAATATATGATATTAATATAATATCTGGTTCTGAGCATTAAATAAAATGATGCATGTGAAATAATGAGCATGGTAAAGAGTAAAGCAAACATTAAATGACTACTGTTATCAAACATTAAAGATATTTTGTATTTTATAACAACTCAAGATACTTTATTTATTAAGGTTTTTAATAAAAGACATTTGAATTATTTCATCAACTGAACTTTTCAATTTGCTGGAGTTCACTTTCTCTTAGTCACCTTGAACCCTATGGCATTCTGCTTCTGTTCAAATAGTTTACAGATTATTTTTTATAATTAGATTCATCCCCCTAGAAATAGCCTGGCTCTGCGTTATGTTCACCATGTCCTGATGTAGAGCACAGTACATTTTCCAATAATCAAAAATAATGATACTATACATATTTTCCCAGCTTACTTAGCAGCCTTAATATAAGAGATAATTATTCTTTTAAATTATTTGATCCTGGTCTTCTATAATACATTCACCTCTGGCTACATAGTAGTCTGTACGCCCCTAACTTCTCAACAGCTGTCCTGCTTTCTGTCTACTTTACTCTTATGCATCCTTCCCAATGACTCTTAGAAATTCCAGTTCAGCTATCTTCAATTCCACAGTCCCTGTGTAAATTCCAATGATGTCATAGTGTTTCCCTGAAGAAAATTGATCATCAGCTCTGAATTACACAAAAGATCTGCAGAGATGCATGTCTCCATCCTTTCTCCTATATTCTTTCTTTAGCAGGCAGAAACCCAATAAGTCAGCTACATTTTAATAGGATTTTAATTATTAATGTTATTAATGTGTATTTCATTACCATCATTGTTGGCTAAAAGATTTGGTTAAATAATATTTCCATGAATATATACAGTTGTTGCTACTTCTTTTTCTCTATGCATTTCCTTGGATAATTTTTAAATGTTTCCAATACTACCATGTGTCTACTAAATTTGCTAAATAATACTGCTCTGCTTTAGTAATCATCTTCTCCAATATATCGTTATGTTTTCCAGTAGAATGTAATCTTTCCCTCTTAAAGTTTTTCTAGGTCTGTGCTTATATTATGTTGGTACCATTTTCATTCTTACTTAGCATTTTTCTATTATACAAACCTATATTTCTCAGGCACTTGTATTGTATTACATATGTCCTTCAAGTATCTCTATCCCACAGAAATTATTACCTCCAACTTTAGTATTTGAAGCCAGAACTTAATGTCATTTGCACTATCTCCTGCTTTTTCAACGACTCTGATCAATGTTATTTGTTACACCAACTGGCAGCTGATGAATTGATTTCTCATGGTCCCTTGCAATTTTTAAGAAATCTGTCTTTTCATGGTCGCTAACCACACTCTTATCTTCTATATGTGATATCATATCTTTACATTGATTCATTCTGCTATGTAAACTTTCAGTGGAGTCTTTAATCTCCTGGATATCTATTTGAATGAGCTTCATGGATTCTGCTTCTTTCCTATGCCATATTTTCCATCATGTTCCTGAGCTCCTCTATTTTTTTTTTTTTTTATGTTTTTGTTCTAGAGTCTCTAAGTATGTGGTCTCCATCACTGTAGCGATCTGGCAAATTATTTCTCCTTTAAAGTTTTCAAGAGCTTTATTCATCAATTTTGTTATTTCCCTTCTTAATAGTTCAGGGAGTCCAGGTCATTGGTTTTTGGGGTTATTCTACCTCATTGCCCCCTGGAATTGTCTTTGATGAGCTGAGTTTGTGTCTTGTTTAGGTGAATTCTCATTTCTATCTTTTTCTGTTGTTGTTTTGGTTTAATTCCTGGGTTGATCTTTGGGTTTTTATTCTGTAGTGACTCTTAGTCAGTCTTGGTTTTGGTATACAAAGAAGGAAAACTAACTAGAACAGTCTCATCACCTTGGCCAGAAAAACACAGTAAGCATCAACACAGCTTAGAAAATGTCAAATTGAGGTAATTATTAATCTATCACCTTAAACTACATAAACTAGTCTTGTGGATATATATCAAAATCAGGGACCAACTAGCAATATGTTTGTAGTAAATAAGCCTGTCAATATGGCAAGTTTACCCTCTGGGGAGAATACCTAGAATGAGTTGGGGGGGGTTGCGAGGAGGGAGAGTTCATAGTGAGGCTAGAGGACATAGGAAGATATACTGTTGGAGAGAGGAGGAAAAGAGAGAAGGGAGGAACAAATATAAGAACAGGACAAATGAACAGGAAGAGAAATTATTAACGTGCCTATAAAAACAAGAACAATTGAGAAAAAACAGAACAGGACAAAACAGGAACAGGAAAGGTGAGAAGTAAAGAAGAAGTAAAAGAAGGAGAAGGAGAAGAAGAAAATGTAGGAGGAGAAGAAGAAAAGAGAGATAAAAAGGAAAAGAGAAGGGAAAAAAGAGATGTCTCCATCAAGGCATGTCTTTGCTGTCCTTGGTGCACATTGTGAGCTGCAGCATGCAGACTAGAGTCAATTAATCTAGCCGACCAGCCTTAGTCCACTGTGGTTCAGGCTGTTCTCTGACTGCCAGGCCAGTAGTGAACTTCCTGATTTCTGTGGGTTTGAACTCTGCATGGTTCTGTTGCAAGTTCCAGCAGCCCTCCCCTCACAGAAAATCCATGTTCCAGTAGGGGAGCTGATCCCAACCACTCACCAATTGCTGAAGTCCGCTGTGTCTTTACTACCTTGGTTCTCTTCACTTTCCTGGTAGACTTCAGTTCTCAACACTAAGCCTTGGAGAGGCCCTCTCTTTGTTGATCACTACTCCACCATCTTTCAAGGTCAGGGGGGTGGTCTTTCTGCTTGCTGTTGATGTCTGGATATGGCCAGTTTGTGTGGGCAGCTGGCACCTGCTGATGAATGGAGGCCACAATTTAGATGAGTCATTAAATAGTAACCTTCAGATGCTTGATCAACCATTCTCCTCTATGCCATTCTGCCTTTTCCATCCTCTCTACCATATTTAATTTCTTTGAAATCATGGACTATGCCACCCTAATTCCAGAATTGTGTACAGCACTGTCTTCAGTATCAGTAGAATATACTCACTAACTTTTAATATATTCACTGAAAAATGGCAGGCAGCACATAGAAAACAGGATGTTCTCACTAACATGCATGAACTGGAGTGAAAGTACTGGAGCCACCTCTGTATCCAAGCAAACACTTACCATTAAGACATGGAATGTGGTTTATTTACAGATAATGTTTCTTGGCGGCATCCCAAATGGGGGTCTGTTTTTATTACAAAACTCATCAAATTTATGCAAGAATATGCGTGGTGCTGTGATCTCCAGGAAATTTTCCGAAAGGTGAATCTCTAAATGTTTTTTCTACTCTACTTCTCAGGATTTTGGCTATTCCTGCTGGAATCTTAGGGAGTAGTTCTGGACATGTTAACATCTTTTTTTTTTTTTCTTCTCACTGAGTTTATTGGTACATTTTAGGTATACAGTATAGTTACATTCAATCACTGGGATCTTGTACCTTTACATGACAGATCTTGCTTCTCATTTTTTGCCCTTGTCCCTGCCCTCCCTTCACCCCCTCCTTCCCTCCCCATTTACAAACACTTTATTTACATTTTTTCATTTTCTCCTATTTTTCCCTTATTCCCTTTCCCCTACCCTTCCCACTTTCCCTACACTTTTAGCCCTTTTCTTCCTATTCCCCATTGTCTATTATACCATTAGGATCTTATGTACTATTACAGTTTTTCACACCAGAGAAACTATTCAGTATTTACATGTGTGACTTATTTATTTCACTTAGGATTATATTCTCAATATGTATACATTTGGACATATTTATCTTCCAATAATGCTATTCTCTCCAGAGGAACCTTGATGGTCTTTGATGAGTCAGAAAACATGGATGTGTGATCCAATGTATTAAGAGAAGCCCCTAGGAAACAATCACTTTAACTCTATTCTCCCATGAGTAGACAAATGAATAAACTTTAATTTGCCAGTGTCCAACATAGCTAACATATTTTAAAAGGCTGCAGGGCCATTTATGCTTAGATATGCCTCTTACTATAGTTCTTAGAGATACAGGTACCTTTAATTGTAATTATTTATTTTTAACATAGTTATTATAGTTTTTTTCCAGATCAAATCAAGATTTTCCACTCAGATAAAAAGGTCTACAGGCTTTTTTTTTTCTTTTAGGTTCAATTTTCATTTGAAAATCCAGATCGTTTTGCACAGATGCCTACTACCAACAGAGTGACTTTGACAAGACATTTCTATCTCTTCCCAGGACATTAAAATACATAAGTTGTATTAATATCTGTGTGTAGGTTCGTATGTGTATGGTGAAGGGAAGACAGAATTGGGAGAAGAGTACTGCGATCCAATCATGGCCTGATAAAATGAAGGGAGAGTACTGAAAGAATATCTCTTTTTCTATTCAGCTCAGAGCACATTGCTTTTAAAGTTCTGCAGAAGTGAATGGCTATTCCTTAGGGAAAATACTATAAATCACAAGGTAGTTAGAAGATTTTGAAAGCCCACTTTAGGATGTGCTTCCCCTTAGGGGAACATTTAAACCTTTTCATGTGTATGTCCCATTGGGTAACAGACCTTACCACTTACATATCTTTTAGCACAACTTTTTCTTATGTTTGTGTTATCTCTTTTTCTGTAAGAAGACAGGAGTTCTATCTTTCTGTACTGGTGCTTAGAAACATGTCTCTTGGAAAAAGACATTTCTTTTAAAAATCTAATAAATCTGGAATAAAAATGAAATGAAGTCTTGAGTTTATTTTTGTTGTTGTTTGTTTGTTTTTACCTCACTGGTAATACAAGAGGTGCAACATAATGAAGTAATGCATGCCAAATCTTTTTACCTGATTTATAAAGTGGAACTAGCCAATAACACTATTGCTTAATTTTTAAGATACTATTTTCCGGGCTTTCTGCCTTAGGAATACAGATCCAAAAAAAAGTACACTCACAGAAGGAACCTGCGTTAAGGACTACAGGGAAGGCAAACAATTATGGCAGCAACAACACAGTGTTAACTGACTAATCCTGGAATCCACAGTTTACTATTGACAAACTTATGAATATAATTAGTTATGGATAACATTTTTAAATTTCTTAAAACATTTGAGGGAAGATAAGTAAATTTTGATTCAACAGTAGGCTTCAAGTAATTTGTAGGCTTATTGAGAAGATAAAAACAATCAACAAACATGAAACAATCACCAGACGGCACAGAATACCATGAATAAATACTAGAGTGTGATGTCCTTATATGAAGAAAAAATAAATTTGGGGCAAATTATCCACTCAGCTGGAAGAACTACAGTTTCACTTGGAAGAATAACCTTTTCCAGTCCTAAAATATTTTAAAGTGAAGATGATTTTTGACTTTTTGAAAACTTAAAAAGTTGAACATATCCCAGTCCCTTTCCCTCTGATACTATTTAAGAAATATCTGTGTGATCATTTCTTCTACTACCGATTGAAACTTCTTCTATGAAGAATTCTTGTCTAGGACCCCAAAAGGCAGATGCCCAAGGCAGAACTATTACCTGCAGTAATTATAGACCTTAAATTGATCTTAGGCAAATAAAGAAAATCACGTTGGAGGGTGGGGGAAAAGGGTTCCCTGGAACTATTGATAAACTATCTATAAAAGATTAAAATGAGGGCTAGGGATTTAGCTCAGTGGTTCTGCTGTCTGTCTTGCAAGTGCAAGGACCTGAGTTCAATCACTGGTACCAAAAAAAAAAAAAAAATTAAGATGACAGGGCTACAGGGAGTGGAAGATAACATTGATACAATTTAAGCAGAAGAGAAAAGTGACTTTTTACTAGGTGAAGTTTTACTAGGAAATGGAAAGCTGATTCATTCATACTTAGCTCATGTAGGGCTGGTACTTTTTAATATATAGAAATGAAAACACAAAAGGTTAGAAGAGAAGGAAGGATTAGGAGGAGTTCTGGGAGGCCTGGACAGAGAAAAAGAACAGGTGGAAACACTAGTTAGAAGAGTCATCTTATAGGACAATGTTTCATCCTTTCTAGTTTTAAATTTTCCTTCCCAAAAGGAAGACACTAGACATCAGGACCAAGATTCCAATGTTATAACTGTGAAGGATTTAGCAACAAGGAAACTAGAAGTTCTGAGCAACAGATTCAGTCTAATTGTCCCACCCTCTGCACTTAGGATATGTCCAGCAATTGTCATTTTCCAGTTTGAGGCTCTCCACACTTCAGTAAGAAAGGACTGAAGCTGTTACCTGTGGCTGGTGAGTCGGGTCTTTTCCAGGAAAGGACTTGGCTAAAAAACATTTTATTTACTGCTGGGTGATAGGTGGAAATAACAAAAGGGAAGCAAGCCAGTAGTGTACAAGTGAAATTGTTCCCCTTCTTATTGCGTGTAACTGGAACCACAGGAAGTGGAGATAGAGACACGGAATAGGAACATGAACTCCAGGCCTCTTTAAGCCCAAAAGGAGATTTTTCAGTTCCTCATAATAAAAGGGAGGGTAAAGTACTTCATGTGAAACAACTCTAGAAGTTTCTAAATGCACTCTGAAATCTTCTCTACTTCCTCTTGATTCTGAATTTACCATTCAGGTTATAAGAAATGTATCAGAGAGCCTTTGAGTTCACATCCCTTCCTACTTGTTATATTGAATTTTACTCTTGGTCTGTTTAATATGATTCCAATTTCCCCTCTCTTTAGCCCCCGAGTATCAATTCTGGCACAACATTTCTCTCATTGCTATCAGGGCTCTCCCCATCACCCCTGGTCTCTCTCTCTCTTTGTCTCTTTCAGTCAGTCAGTCGGTCTGTCTGTCTCCCTCCCTCCCTCCCTCCCTTTCCTAATGTCCCTCTTTCCCTCTTTGCTGAACTTAACCCTCTGATCCATCCTGCACCCTACTGTCAGGTCACCTGTCTTATACACAAACTCTGATAACAGCATAAGACAAGAAATCTTGAGGTTTTTAGGCTGCTGGTATTCAAACATTTAACATCACTTCTGTGGCTTATTCTCATCATGTGAACATGAACAGACTGGACTATATTAGTATTTCTAAACCTTGTAACATTTCTAACTAATCTGTGGTCATTTAGGAAATCAGTTTCCCATCCTCTGTTAGATCAATTCTAAGTAGATTTGGAACATACAGATTCTTTTACATATCTACAGAGAAGTTTTATGTCATTAGCTTGACAAAAGTTTATCTGAAGATTTGCATTTTTAATAAAGATGACCAGTTAGTTAATGATCAGTTCTCACATTCTTGGTGTAAATTAAGGTAATTTTTTAAAATTTTGGAACATGTAATAGCTTTTGTTGCCTATCAAAAATATGTAAAAATTTCAGACAACTTTTACTACCTCTTATAATATATTTACCTATTGTCTATTAATTTCTCTTTTATGATTTAGATAAAAATGGTCCCCTAAAGGCTCATATATTCAGTGGTGGGACTTTGGAAGGTGATGAGATCATGAGTTTTATATACTCACTAGTGGCTTAATCCATTAGTGAATTTTTACATGACTGAGCTGTCAGGAGGTGGAGTCTGGTTGGAGGTGGATAACAGGGTGCGACCTGCATGGATGTATTCTTGACCATGACTCTTCCCTTCTTTCTCTGCCTCCTGTTTTTCATAGGTTGAATAGCTTTTCTCCACTAGTCCCTTCTGCTATGCCATTTCATTCTTGGAGTCAGTCAACCATAGGCCCAATGTTCTGAAAACCATGAGCCAAAAACAAAACTTTTCTTAATGTTTGGGATGCTGGGTATTTTGTCCCAAATATGGAAAAGTGGTTTATATGCCCTCTACAGCATGATTTCAGTTTACACACACTTAAAAATGTATTGACTGTATTCACCCCATTCATATTTCCTTGCTATTGCCTATGTCACTGCTTTGCTTCTTTCTGTATTACAATTCTTTCCGGGAGTTGCATTTTATTTTACATTGAATTGAAGCTCCTCATATGCAGCAATGGATTGATTTCTCTTCTTGTCTTCTTCAAGACTCTTATAAGGCATTGGTCTGGAGAATGCAAAGTTAAATTACAGCAATGGACACCTGTTGGGTCAAACAGATTGACTTCACTGATCATTAGATTGAAATCATAACACTACTAAATAATAGATGTGAGAAAATTAAAAGGCAACAGACAAAGCGAAGTGGTTTGATGAATATAAGTAAATTAGGTATTTGATCACTGTTAACTAAAGGACCTCAGAAGTAGTATTGTCTAATGTGTCAGGAAATTATATGAATTTTCTAAATACTGAAACTGGGGTCTTGGGTTTTTTCTTCTACATTATTCCCTGTTTTATGATCATTGCGACCCCAATTCAGTAGTTATAACAAAAATAATCCCATAACAATTCAGTTTTAAGAAACCCAGATTTGACAGCCACTACACACTGCCTCTAACTCAACATTTAAAACTGTGCATTTAAAGGTTTTTCTTATTTCTATTTTGTAGCTCAAGAAGGTACTTAAAGAAGAGTTATGAAATTTTCTTGACTCTCAAACTCAAGACACTGGCTTCGTTTTAATTTTTTGCAAAAGTTTTCAATTAGGTACTTACATCTGATGACTCATTTCTTTTTGTGATGCACACTTCAGTTTCCAGTACTATCTTCTAAAACCTAGCTCTCCAAGCTTTCTGGTTACATCAGACCTCCCAAGCCTTTGTGGTTTGCCCACACTGTTTCCTACCAAGAGACTAGTCCTCCACCTTGCCACTGAGCTAGACTCCCACTAACCCTTCAGGTCTCCATTTTCAATATCTCTCTCCTTTAAGCAGATTCACACCTGAAGAATGGTCTGTAAAAAGCTTTCTTAGTGCATATGCTTGTCAATTAAATTATTATGCTTTCTTTCTATTTTGGTTAGTTGCATATGAATCTCTCCATTTACCACATCATCTAAGAATATTTTTCCAAAATGGTATTCCAAGCAGAATATTTAGTCATTTGATTAAATATCTTTGAGTGAATGGGTGAATGAGTATAACTTCACTCTGCTGGAAAAGTTTCAATGTGTTCTTATTGCATGTTAAATAAATCAAACTTCCCTAGCTTACTCTTAAGCATTTTTAAGAGGTAGGCCATGCCTGAATTTTATTTACTTCACCAGCGATACAATAAAAAATTATTGAATTTCCCCTGAAGGTCAGAAATTTACTTGCTTCCTTGCTATTAAATAGCTTGATTTTCTTATTTATTTTCTGAATATCTTATCAGTATGTGATTAACAAATATTTTTCCCATGGTGTATATTATTATGTCTTCCCTCTAACTCTAACATTATGATTGTGTGCTGTAAAAAATCTTTTGAGTTTAATCCCTTTTTTTATGTTCACTTTTTTGCCTGTGGTTTTTGGAATTATATCCATTCAATCCCTGCCTATACCAATGTAAAGGAATTTTCCTATTATGCCTTTTTTTGTAGCTTCACAATTTCTAATCATATATTTAAATTTTTAACTCCTTTTTAGCTAATTTTTTTATATAATGTAAAATAATGTTCTAACTTGACTCTTACATATGTCGATAGTGGTTTTCTTAGAGCCATTTATTGAAGGGACTGTCTTTTCCTCACATTGGTTTTTATGGAACTTTGTTGGAAATCAATCAACTATAAATTCTTGGGTTTATTTATGTGCTTCCCCTTCTGTTGCACTGATTTGTGTGTATG